ACATGACAACATGAATACACATGACATCTAATGTTGGGGGGAAGCCAGACATATAACATTATATTACATTTAATTATTATTGGTAATGTTTGTTAATTGTTTGATTTGCTTTTTTACTCAAATTAGTTTTTTAATAAGTTGCACTTATTTATTTATGCAGTGTGGAGTTTGCATGTTCTCCCTGTTTTGACATGGGTTACCTTTGGGGTGCTCCGGTTTCCTCCACAGTCAAAGACAAGCACTATAGGTGAATTGAATAAACTAAATTGGGTGTAGTGTATGTGTGTGACTGAGTGTTTCCCAGTACTGGGTTGTGGCTGGAAAGGCATCCAATCTGTGGTTCATTCCACTGTAGCGACCCCTAATGAATAAAGGGACTAAGCCAAAGGAAAATGAATGATTTGGCATACATGTGTATTCAACCCGCATGTGCACCCTACCCGCATAGAGCTGGGATCAAATCGTGATTGTTTATTCGGGTCGGTTGCTCTAACAAAGAGGCTAAAGACCATGGCCTCTAGCATCTGTTGGAATAAGGATTACCTGCATAGCACTTCACTAGTTGGCCTCCATTACACTCACTCCCGGACGAGCCCCCACATACAACCCACCGGTCCTACTGCACCCAATCTGCTCTGTGTTGGGATCAAACTGGCGATTCTTTGCATGGAAGTCGGTTGCAGTAACAAGGTGGCTAAAGACCATGGGCTCTAATGTCTGTCGCTAAAGCACCTTAGGAGGTCAGAGGAGTGAGGTTAACCTGCATAGCACTTTGCTAGCTGGCCTCCGTTACACTCACCTCCCTAAACCTCTATCCGGGTCATGGCACCAGTGTAACCCTGCTGGTCCTACGCCAACTACACCTGTTCTGAGCCAGGATCTAACTGGCGATTCTCTGCATGGGAGTCGGTGGCTTTGAGATTATGGCTTCTAGGCTAAGACCATGGCTACCTTTTGAGGTCAGAGGAGTGAGGTTTACCTGCATAGCACTTCGCTAGCTTGCTTCTTTTACAGACTTTTATGTAGTGACATACAAATGAGAATAAAAGAAGCACTTCAGATCATCTGAGCAGCAGTTACACTGTGAATGTTATGGCAATTCTACAGTAATGTAGTTTGTTTTCTCAGAGCATATGGAGAGGAGAGAGTGTGTGGTGGGTTGTTTGTCAAACCCACTCACCAGTGTGAAGCACACTCAGAATTGCATGATATTTCCAGAAACACGTGAAAAGTGTTAATGAGAAAGTGTCTGGTGCATATGGAGAGTGTGTCCAGCAAGTGGATTGTTAAGCCCAACCATATACCTTTAAATATTGTATAGTTTTTAATAATAGAAATAATTTTGTGGCAAGTGGCACAATGTCTCAGTGGTTAGCACTGTCACCTTACAGCAAGAAAGTTGGTAACTGGTTCGAGTCCCGACTGTCTCAGTTGGCGATTCTGTGTGGAGTTTGCATGTTTCCCTTGTGTTCATGTGAGTTTCCTCCGCATGCTCCAGTTTCCCCAACAGTCTAAAGACATGCAGCATAGGGAAATTGAATAAGCTAAATTGGCCTTAGTGTATGAGTTTGTGTGTAAATGAGAGTGTGCATGGGTTTTCCAGTATTGTGTTGCTGCAGGAAGGGCATCTTCTGTGTAAAACATATGCCAGAATAGTTGGTGGTTTATTTTAGATGGTGACCCCTGATAAATAAGGGACTAAACCTGAATGAATGAATATTTTGGGAATTTATTTGGTAATTACTTTTAATTTAATATATACAATCTATACATTTTGCTTATTTAGCAGCTTATTGTTGAATTTAAATATGGTAAAATACAGTAGATTATTTTTTTCATGTCCAAAAATGATTTGTTATCTGCTTAACCGCTAGCTGACTTCGCTATGAGTTGTGTGGACACTTACAAAATCCTGATGGTGCTTTTAGGGTCAATTTGGTGCTTGGCATGCTCAAGTTCTCATTTACTTTTGTCAAGACAAGTGTCTAAAACTATTCCTCAAGACTTCCCAATCTAAGATCCACAAACGATCAAAAGTCGTGTGGCTTTGGAAATGCAATGATGGTGAGTAAATGATGACAGAACTCTTATTTTTGGTTGAATTATTCCTCTGAGTGCTCGCCGGGTGACCTCCAGAAGCAGCCTGGATCAAATAAAGCCATATAGAAACCTGGCACAGTATACGCGTCTGTTTATATGTGTCTGCCAACAAGAAAGATTCCTCTTATAATCTAATCTCCTCCATTGAACCTCAATTGCCCTCAAGACTTTCAACTCCAAACAGGTGTCTTTCCTGAAGAGGTGAATACATTATTCAAAAAAAGCTATGCAAAGTAGCCATTATACTTGACTGAGTCATGATGAAAATCCCATCGGGCCGCAGGGGTTTGTCGATCTTGATGGTCGAAATACACACTCGCTTCCAAAGCCAGACTGGTTTGTTAGCAAGCCAGATCTCATTCTTCTAAACAGAAAAGAAAAAAAAGGAGGGAAAACGGGAGATGTTTAGCCGACTCCAACCTGAGGTTAAGTTTCCCTGGACACAAAAAAGAAAGCACATGAAAAGACGCTTCACTCAATACACTTTCCTGTTGTAAAGAGAGAAGAAGAGAAGCTGGAAAGTGTTTTTGATAGGGGAAGAAAAGACCATGGCACGCCCTTTTGATTCCTCTTCACAATGGCTGAAATCAGATAGCTGTCGCCTCGGGCTTGAGCTGGAGACGTTGCATTGTAGCTCCTCAAAGACGAGAAGAATGGCTTTTCTAGCAATTATCGTTATTTCTGGCGGCGCAGGCACCCGTAGCGCACGTGAAGGGGGATTCGGTCGGGCTGTTTTCTGATGAACGTGCGGTTCCTGAAGATATAAACCAATCACTGCCTTGTCTGGCTGTGCGGTTGTAATCAATACCTTGTTTCGAAGGCTTTTTCGGGCTTCAAGGTTTAAAGTACGCACCAGAGAGCTTAAAGGGGTTTTGAAGCAGACAAAAAGACGGAGAGCTCCACAGGTCACTGTCTGGAAAGGAACAAAGGTTTTTCCCCAGGCCTTCGACTCGACAGTGACCTGGAGGTGGACATGCTTGGATGGATAAGGCCAGGGGAGAAAAAAAAAGCTCAATAAAGCACGTAGGTTCAGGCTTTAGGGGGTGTTTCTGTCTGACTGACAGCCCATGAAAAGCTTTTCTCTTTAGTGACAGCTTTGCTTGAACTAAATCATCTGCAGGAACTAACTAAAAGAGCAGCAATGGTACTTACTAATGAGCGTCGTCTGCAGCATGACAGTCTCTTAGCTGTTTTTGTAGTAGTTAGTAGTAGTTTTTTTTTTTTTACTAGAAACTACGCTACAGTTCAAAAGTTAGGTGTAAGATTGTTCTTTTTTCTTTTAAAAATGGATTGCGTTTATCAAAAGTGACAGTAAAGACTTCTTTTGAACTTTCTTTGCATCAAGAAATCCTTAATTGAGCAGTACAGCGTTTGATAGGTTGTAGTAATTTTGAGCAGCAACTCAGCACATTATGATGTTTTATTAAGGATTATGTGGCACTGAACATTGCTATACAAATCTGCTAATTAGTTTCTCATAGTGAAGTTTATTTATAAAATAATTTCGAGAGAATCACATGCTTATGATTGTACATGGCTGGTCCCGCATTAGCTAGTGGTTGATTCACCAATCAGACGATTCCTAACTCACTATAACTACTGAGTTTCTTACCTCAGTATCTTCATCTTGAATGCCCCTTCCCATCCCTACTCCCTCTTTTCTAGATGAGTGACACGGCGGCCCAGTGATTAGCTTAAAGTCCCTACTTAACCAGTCAACATTTCTGTGTGGAGTTTGCTCATTTTCCCTGTGCTCGCGTGGGTTTTCCCGGGGTTCTCCGTTTTCCTCTCATAGTCCAAAAAACATGCAACTTAAGTAAATTAAACATACCGAATTGACACCTTAGTCAAGCTCTGATATCTATTAAGCCGTATATCTCTCTTTAGCCATTCCTATATCTGTTAAATCTAAGTAAGGGGAGTTTATCGAGATCTACCTGAGCTCAAACTCCCCTCTTTCCCTGCTATTGAGAGGGAGCCCAGGGCTCGAGGATCTTATAAGCTCAATACTCTTTCCTTGGACAGCATGCTCGGACAAGCTTATTATAATCATCAGCTAAGTGTGAACTCTTTAATTTCGCAATTATTATATATATATTATATATATAAATTATCCTTTATTGCCATTTTTGCAGTTTGAGGCAATAAATTGCATAAGAAATAAAGCATAATAAAATACAGTTACACCGTGTAAGAATTGCTGGGTTTCACACAGTTCCTTCATGTTGTCCCAAAACAAACTGACTTCATCATTTTTACAAATTTAAATAGACTAAACATAAAACAATTAAGTTCGCTTAAGAATTGTGTTGTTTCAATCCAAACAAGAACAAGAACAAGAAAAACAGGAAAACTATTTTCAGCTCATGAATTTACCATTACTGTCATTTACATATGAACATTTGAGATGCACAAACCAAAGTGCGATCTGAAATTTTCTTCTAAAATGAACATTTTTCTCAGCCTCCTATGTTCATGTTCAGTTGTTTCACTTTAAAGGCAATGAAAATAAGCAGTTCCGTGCCATAAATGTAAAATTACTGAACCTACACACAGGAGGCAGAGATAAATTCTCCTTTTAAATACAGTGTAGGTCACTTTGTGAAACACTTTGGTAACATTTACTCATATTTATTCATGTTAAAGCAACTTTGAACATCAGAGGCTTTAAAAATAAACATTTCAAGTTAGCGCTGCACAATATTGTGATGTTTAGTTTTTTCTGCGATTATATATGATGATGATGATGATATTTGGTTGATTTTAGGTTGTGTTGGAAAGTGATCAAAGCCGTCCTGTGCCTGCTGGGATGTTATATAAATACATTTATTTGTACTTTAATATACATAACTACCGTAACAATGCTTTGAACATTAAAAAAGTCTGTTTTTCTCACACAGGAACCCAGATGGAGATGTCCGTCCCTGGTGTTACATTGCAGATCTCGAGGACGGATCTTACTGGAAATACTGCGATATCCCCACCTGCCAAAGTAAGTGTTTGAAAGGGGAAAACAGTACAGAGAAACCGAAATGAACAACGAGAGCAAGCTAAAGAAGAAACTAGGCCAAAAAAACTTGAAGTTCCCATCATCTGGATTATAAATCTGATATGCATAACCGCATTTTTGGAAAGGATTTTAATTGCTCCATCAGAAATCAGAATGTCCCAGCATGCACAGATACGTTCGTGGTGCTTGTCATCACTTGATGCTTTTTTACGTTCTCAACACTGAGCGTACACAAGCATCTGTGTTTGTATTCAAACTTTGGGTTTCCTTTTAAAGTGCTCTGATTGATCATTGATGATTCTAAACCTGCATTCACTATTGTTTCACATAATCAGCGCAGACAAATTTCTTTTTTTTTTTCTCCTTTGGTATTAGTGCATATGTCTATCCGTGCATGTCTCAAGGGCATGTACGTATGTGCATGTGGATACAAGTGCAAACTCATTTACCTGTCAGTCAAGTTCATATAATACCGCTAAGCTTGTTTTCTACTGTACTGGCAGAGAATGAAAATGTGTGTGTGAGACTAAATGTCCCCACAAGTACAGTTATACCAGTAATTTTTCACCTTGTGGGGACATTTATCTTCACATTAAGAAACCGGCTCATACACATAAACAGTATTAAAGGTATGTGGGCTGTAACTGCGTCGGTACCTTTTCAAAGGTACAAAGTTTAACCTAAAAGGTCTGTATTATTACCTAAAGGGTTCATATTAGTACCTAAAAAGTACTAAAGTGTTCTTCTTCTTTTTTAGGCACTAATATTAATATTTAAGTTTGAGGTATCATAAAGTACCACTTCAGTGACAGCTTACTTTTATTTCTGAGAGTGCAAATACAGAATTAAGTATTTTTAAAATGCAAAACCGCACAATGTTTTCTGTTAAGGTCAGGTTTGGAGAACAGAATACATATCCTGAACAGTATAAGAATCATTACATCCATGGAAAGTCTCCATAAAATATAAAAAAAAACCGAAAGAAATGTCCCCACATAGTAATGCCAGTAAACTTTGACCTTGTGGAGACATTAGCACCTTTCACACAGTAAAACCGGTGAATATCCGGAAAATTTCCGAAATGACTTTATCGGTAAATTAAAAAAAGAGCTGTTCACACAGGCAAGGACGTTCTGGAATTTTCTGGAAAAGAGCATTTACACATACTGTACATTCCAATATACCGGTAAATTCTGACATCATTAACCAGAAATGAGCTCTAAATTGCTGAGCTTATATTTGTAAACATTGGAACGAAAATTAAACAAATTTACCGGCATTTTCAAAAAGGACTTGTTTACACATGATCCTATTTATTGATCTGAAATATCTATTATTCTGGAAAATTGCTAGTAATTTTCCAGAAATGTCTGTATATGTGAAAGGGCTATTATTTAGAGAAAAATACTTTATTTATTGTAACTTATGAGCCATTTTTCTCATTGGGACCAAAAATGTCCCTACAAGTAAAGCAATGCCAGTAAATTTTAACATTGTGAAGCCATTTTTTTGGTCCCCATTAGGAAAATGACTCATAAGATACAAAAAATAAAGATTATTTTCCTTGAGGGTTGATTTAAGGGATACGGTTGAGGTAGGGGGGGTAGAATATACAGTCTAAACAGTATAAAAATCGTTACATCTATGGGAAGTCTCCATAAAACATGAAAAATAAAAACTGAACCAAATGTTCCCACAATTATAGCAATGGCAGTACATTTTGACCTTGTGGAGACATAAGCCTTTTTCACACAGTGATATCGGTAAATATCCAGAAAATTTCCACAGGCAAAGGCGTTCCGGAATATTTTTGGAAAAGACCATGCATACAAACATTCCAAAATACCAGCAAATTCTGACATCATTAACCAGCAGAAATGAGCTTTAAATGGCTGCGCTTGTATTTGTAAACATTTGCCAGAAAAAAAAAAAAAATAGCTGCAACAAATTTACCGGTATTTATAAAAAGGGCCCCTTCAAACTTGATCTCTTTCTCGAAAGTTGATGGCAATTTTCATGAAAGGTCTGTATGTGTAAAAAGGGGCTATTATTTGGTCCTCATGAGAAAAATATTTTATTTTCTATTTTTATTTTTATTTTTATGTGACTTTTCTCATTGGGGACCAAAAAAATGTCCCCATAAGGCCATAAGTATATCAATGGCAGTAAATTGGGACCTTGTGGTGGCATTTTTTGGTCCCCATCAGGAAAATGGCTCATAAGTCACTCAAAATCAAGTATTTTCAAAATGTATAAATGCAGATTGTTTTTTTTTTTTTTTTTTTTAAGTTTGATTTTAGGGATACGGTTGAGGTAGGGGAATAGAACATACTATACAGTATAAAAATCATTATACTGTATATATGGAAAGTCTCCATAAAACATGAAAAAAACTGAACCAAATGTCCCCACATGTATAGCAATGCCAGTAAGTTTTGACCTTGTGGAGAATTATCCACCTTCACACAGTAATATCTGTGAATCTTTTTAATGACTTTACCAGTAAGTTCAAAAAAGCACTGTTCACACAGGCGAGGACGTTAAGTAATTTTTCCAGATAAGACCATTCACACATACATTCTAAAATACGAGTAAATTCTGACATCATTAACTAGAAATTAGCTCTAAATAGCTGCACTTGAATCTGTAAACATTCACCAGAACGATAATTGCCGCAACAAACTTACCAGTATTTTTTAAAAGGGCCCGTTCACACATGATCCCTTTGGGGAAAATTGTCAGTCATTTTTCGGAAAGGTCTGAATGTGATGTGTGAAAGGGGCTATTATTTGGCCTTCATGAGGAAAATAGTTTATTTTATGTGACTTATGAGCAGAGCCAGACAGAATCTGTGGACATTTTTTGCTATTTCAGCACAGAATATTGTAAAAAAATTTGCAAATGTATTTGGAATGATAAATAAAATCTACAAAATTTTTGACTTTTATTTAATGTTTACAATGCGAATACTATTAGATCCAGTTATTTAGTAAACAAAGCAAGTCTCTCTTGTAAAATATCTACCACATATCTACTAAAAAACAGAAATTATTACTTTACCAACTGTATTTTATTTAAATCATTTGATCGTTTTCAAATTAGTGAGTAATATTACTGATATTAACTTAAAAACTAAATAAATATAAATTTACAAACATATGCATATACATATACAATTACATATACATATACATAAATGGACTCAATGATAGGGTGAAAATCTGTGGAAATCTGCAGATTTTTGGACGCGCAGATTCCGTGTGGGCCTACTTATGAGCCATTTTCCCCATGGGGACCAAAAAATGTCCCCAGAGGTAGTGCAATGCCTGTAAATTGTAACCTTGTGGTGAATTTTTTTGGTCCCCATAAGGAAAATGGCTCATAAATCACACAAAATAAATATCTAAAAAATGTAAAAAAAAAAAGAGCAGAATATTTTCCTTGAGGGTTGATTTAAGGGACACGGTTGAGGTAAGGGTGTAGAATATACAGTCTGTACAGTATATAAGTCATTACGTCTATGAGAAGTCTCCTTAAGAATAGCTGTGTGTGTGTATTGTGAGACTTTGGCTTTCATGATGCTGGAAGTAAATTTTTCCTGCTTCTTCGAACTTCTTATTTAAAATGAGCTGAGTTGACACAATTCATGAGTTTTCTTGGGACAACTTAATTGTTTTGTATTTAATCGTTTTAAATTTATAAAACAATTAAGTAAGCTTAATTGATTTTTGTTGGAACAACATCAAGGAATTATGTGGAGCCCAGCATTCAACACCTTGTGGGTACAATTTCCCCATGAGCAAAACAGATCATAAATACAGACTAAAGTATTTTGAAAATGTAAAACTGAACCTGAATGTTTTCAGGTTGGGTTTAGGGCACAGAATGTGCAGTATAAAACTCAACACGTCATTGGGAATTCTCCACAGAAAATGAAAACCCAATGTGTGTGTGTGTGTGTGTGTGTGTGTGTGTGTGTGTGTGTGTGTGTGTGTGTGTGTGTGTGTGTGTGTGTGTGTGTGTGTGTGTGTGTGTGTGTGTGTGTGTGTGTGTGTGTGTGTGTGTGTTGTGTGTTGTGTGTAATCTGATATGCCCTACTCCTCAGTTACATCTCACTAATCACACCCCATAAACAAGAGCTGACACACAGTATCACAGGATGGACTGCGTGTGAATACAAAACCCAACAGCTGCGCCAAACACCAGGAAACAAAATAATGTCAGCAGAGTTCAGCCTATAGTTCATCTCCATTACCACAGACTCAACAGCCTCCCAATGTGTCTTTCGTGACAATTAAATGTATACATTATATTTCATGCTACTTCAGTGCATATCATTTAAGGGCCTAGTTTGCATCTCATTTTGAAAACGTTTTCTGAACATTTAGCCTGCCATCAGAGGAAAATAAAACAGTTTTAAAGGGCACCTATGGTTAAAAATCTACTTTTCAAGCTGTTTGGACAGATCTGTGTGTTGGTATAGTGTATAGACCGTCATACTGGGGTGATATGAACACACCCAGTCCTTTTTTTTCAATTTAACTACAAAAAAAAAAGGGTCGACCAATTGGAGCTGTTTTCAAATCGATCGCACCATTACGTAGGTGTGCGATCCCCCCGCCCACCGAATTGATTGACAGCTGCGCGCATTAACATGTTCCGGTAGTCACGTGTATATGTCAACAAGACCAGGCAGACATACGCAAAGCAACCGGGAATAAAAGGTCTGTTCTGTTTGCTAGGATCAGCAATCATCATCAAATGTGATTAAGAGTAAGTTTCACATGTTTAAAGTGTTTTAAAACAGAGTATGTGTGTAATTAATTACAGCGTTTTACTTCAGCTATACTTCATCAGCACAGCCGTGTGTCAGAACAATTATAAAAGAAGACGCTTCAATCCCGGTTTGTGGAAGTTAAATCAGGTTTATTTTGTACATTAGCATAACAGATATCCACACAGCAGTGGAGGTTAGCCTTAAC